TAAGAAAAAGACAGTGATTTCAGGCAACACAAATTCCATTTCAAATATATTTGGAGTTGATACTCCAACTAGGTCTTCAGTTGAAATTTTTCAACAATTTGGATGAATGTGCAAGAAAAAGAGATAGAAGATAAATGCAGGAGAGATGTGAATAAATTGACGGGAGTAATGTTCTAGAGAAGACATAAGATTAAAATGAAAATGAACAAATAGATCCCTAAAAGAGGAAGGCAAGGACATCCTAAGAGAAGGTATCTGGAAGGCATAAATAAAGACATGAATACATTTTGATGGAAGGAGGGCCTATCAAGATAATTTGATAGTATTAGTAAAATAAAAATAAATATGGATGATGGGGGAACAGACTAGGTTCAGAAAGAGAACAATTTTCATATGGATTAGAGAGTATTCCTATGAACATATTTCCTATAGAGTATAAACAAGGGATACATAGAAGATTGAGGAGAAGCTGGGACAATTAAGGACGATGAATTTACAGATGAAAAAAGTAGAATTATTTCTACTTTTTCCTAGAAATATTTACCAGCCAGCATCTTAGAAAAAACAAATAATGGGGTCTTCTCAGAGTGAGGAATCTTCCTGGAGGATAAGTCACAATGACGTGGTGTGAGATCTAAGGAGCAAGAGATGGTGTTGTTGAAATGTAACTATTCCATCCTGGGAAGGGAAACACCGTAGTTTGAAAAAATGTTGCACTGGAAGAAGGAGAAGGAAAGGATGCTGAGTTAGATGCTGAAATCAGAGAGAAGGCACACTATATCTTGATGTTCTAGGTTTACAGCCTCAAGATGGGTTGAAAGACGTTTCCAAGATAAAGGGTCTGGAAGTGCCAGAAGTTAACAATTATTGCCAGTATCTACAGTGCCCATTAGGACATGCATCCAGGGAAGTGGTGTTATCAGGAAAGAAACAGACTCTAATATAAGCAGGTAGAATATGGAAGAAAATAGGATGAAGGATATTATGACATAGGATAGAGTACTGCTAGGGAAGGTGAGAATTTCTTCTTGTGGACTAAAGCTTAATGACCTGGATATTTTATTCAAATAACATGAAAGATAAAGATTGATCTAAAGGGGAGAAAATAGATGAAACTGAGTCTGATACTGCAACCATATAGTTCAGGAAAACATCTAGAATTCCATAAAAACAAATAAGACAGAAAAAGATATACATGAAAGGTTTACATGTTTATTTTTTCTTTTAAATCATGATAAAACATAATTCATTAAGTTGGGGTTTTATATTTGTGGAAATACAGTAAAGCGGATCCTCTCTCTTTTTTTTTCCTCCCTTCAATCTCCCAATGTTTTGGAGAAGGGTCAATGTACTACACAGCTGGTACTCAAGCAACACGTGGGATAAAAAGCCTGTGATGTATTTTTTAATATGTGCTTTATATGATTAGATAAGTATGCTATAAAGATTGCAGGTGGTATTGATACAATCCCCAAATAGTTAAACGTTTCATGTTAGTTACCTGTTTCATGTTAGTTACCTGTTTCAGGTAGTGTGCTGACATGGCATGTGCTTTCATCACCTTCACCAGCTGAGGTTGAAGCTCTTACTTTAAAGACATATGAGGTACCGGCAAGAAGCTTTATGAAAGTGTACATGTGATCTTGGGGAGAGACTTTTGTAGAATTCCTTTCAACTGTTATCATATATTGTGTTATTATTCCATTTGCCTTTTTGGGTGGATCCCATTTCACTAAAACTGACTGCCAGCTAGTTGCCACGCACTGCATATTCTGCACGACATCTGGAACTTAAGAGATAAACATATGCCGCAAGTTAAAGTGTGTACACATGTAAGTAGATAATTGATTGAATTATGTGATCACTAGATACAGCTGTGTTTAGAAGTACAACTAGAAAAATATTTCATATATCAAATCTTCAATGTGTGCTTAAAAAGTCATTAACATAGACTGAATCAAAAGGCTGTTGACTTGCTTTTTATGCTATTGTATTAATCCTTACAATATTGAACCAGTCACTAAATATCTTCCAGCTCCAAGCACCAATCACATCCTCGAAAGCTCAGAAGCAAATGTGTAGCCTCAAGCCCAGGCCCAGGCCCAGGCAGTGTTTGATAATTGCTGTCTTACTTGGAAAGGAAGAATCTTAGCAATAGTTTATTATGGAACATTTTTATGCAAAACATAGATACAGGTGCCTCCCTGATGTGACAAATCTGGGCTTCACAGTACTTGGAAACCCCTAACTAATTTAAAGGTACTGGTTTTTACTGGGATGTCTTCTTTGAAAGAATCTTGAGGATCTCATCTTTAAGTACCTTTTGTAGACATCGTTGGAAGGAAGATTTAAGGAGTCTTAGTCTTATTTTCTAGAGCTTCTCTGAATTTACTTGAAAGTAACCCAATTTCTCAGAGGTCCTCTGTATCTGGAAGGCTTGGTTAAGGAACAATATCCTAGCCCACCAAAGTGACTGCACATTAGAGAGACTGGTTGCTTCCCACAGAAATGTCCAATTAGCCAATGTACCCTAATGGTGGTATTAGTAGAATAAATTTTCTTGTCACAGTAAAAGATAATGCTAGAAGAAAAATTGGGACA